CATCGCCCCCGTCCAGTTGCTCGGTGCCCATTCCTGCGCCCGTCGTCCCGCGTCGCATTCTGGGCATTTTTTTTGTCGCCGGTCACTCCGTTTGTTTCTCTTTCTCATTGCAGACTCCCTGCGGTGACGAGCGCTCGCTCGCTCGCTCGCTCTCCCTCGCTTTCTCTCTCTCACCGCCCCCGACTGTTTTGTTTCGTGTTCCGCTCCACTCCTTCGTTTTTTTTCTCCCGCCCCCCCTCCTTCCCTCCCTCAAAGGACTGTCAGGTGCCTTGCCTTGCCGCTCTCCCGCAGAAGTCCCCCCACCACCCCCCCCTCCACCCCACCCCCCCACCGCCCGCTGCTCGTGGGCACAGCTGACGGTTTGAGAGGTCTGGATGCCAGCCTCCCTCCGCCGCCCCCTCCCCCCCACGACTGTGTCAGCGATCGGTTAATGTACGTATGTATGTTAGACTTCTTTCGCACCATACAGTGCGGTGAGGGGTGGTAGGACAACAATCGAAACGCAAAAAGTTGTTGAGAAAGAATGAGTTTTCAATCTAGGTGATTTAAATGCTCCGCCCAATGCCGGCCGGTCATTAACCTGCGTGGATTTTTAGGGGGGAAAAGGGGGGGCCCATTCTCACTTACAAAACCAGGGAGAGGGTGAAATCCAACCCCCCCCCCCCCTGGGTGTTTAGCCGCCTCACTGAGGAGACCCTCTAAAACGGAGCTTCCCTGCGAGTGGCATTTTAATTCGAGGAGGATGAGGAGGGTGGTTGTGGGAGTGGGGGTGGCGGGTGGGTAGGGGGGGGAGATGGAGACCTTTTAATCGAGCACCGGGGTGATCTGGGTCGGTTCTTTTTCCCCTCTGCTGCCGATTGCCGAGCAGTGGCAGTGGCGGCGAAGGTCAAGTGACGGCTACGCTGGTGTCACGGCCGCTCCTCCTCCTCGTGACTTCTGATGCGAGCGTCACCTCCGTGTTTTTTGTGGGCTGGCCTCATTTGTGCGATTCCTGCTGACGGTGGCGCAGATGTTAACTCCTTCGCCTGGTAAACAGGAGGTCGTGGGTTCGACCCCTGACCTTTGATGCCCGCTGTATAATTGGAGTTTGTGTGTCTTTCTCCCCGTGGTCGCGTTGATTTTTCTCCGGGTCCTCCGGTTTTTCCTTCCACATTTTGAAACATGTGTTAGGAGTATTTGGCTACTGCTGTACATTTCCACGTGATAAGTCACTGCGTTGAGCTATCATTTGTGGCCAGGTCGCTTCTGAAAAAGCGCTACATAGCTCAGTGAGCCTTACCTGGTAAAATAACAATGGTAAAAAAAATTGGTTTATTATCCAGTGTGCCCGTGGCCAGACCTGGCACCACCACCCCGCATACACACACACACGCATGCGCGTGTGTGTGCGTGTGTGGGGAGCGGGAGTGCAGCGGATAGCACGCTGTGCTACGAACCTGGCGACCCAAGTTCGACTCCCGCTGACGGCCAACATGGGTAAAGATTATCTGAACTGGTCCTGGGCCTCCCTTAGGTCGACTCGGCCTCAAAAGAGTACGTGGTGCAGTATGTAAACATCGCCAATGGGGAGACAAATGCGGTCCGGCCGTGGTGCTGGCCACCCACCCCCGTTGTGTGCCATGCCGTCCTGTCTATAAAGGCTCGATGCGTGAGCTCTCTCTCCGAGGCCTCACGGCAGACGTGGGCCCTCGAGCGGACTCAATAAATCGGCTGAGGAATCGCGGCGATTTTCACTTTTAATGCCCCAGCTGCTATGTGCAATATTTATATTCGGGATTCAATTTTTTTTCGTTTGAGGAACACGTTAAATTTAGGTTAGGGGTTGGCTCGTGAATTTTAGCATTTACCCGCGGTTTTTGATGGCCGTTTTTGTTTTTGATGACTCAATGGGACTCGTCCGTCTGTGTGTGTCCGTGTGTGTGTCTCCCCGTTTGTCCACGTTTCCGTGTGTGTCTTTCCACGTGTGTTCGTGTGCCTGTGTGTCTCCCCGTGTGTGTTCGTGTGCCCGTGCGTGTGTCTCCCCGTGTGTCCACGTCCGTTGCGCAGTCGCGCCTGCCGGCTCAGCAGATCACCTTGCCCGGACATCGCACGCATTTTATTTTATATTTATTTAACCCCCCCCCCCCCCCCCCCCCCTACGACTTTGCTCTCTCTTCTTCGCCCGCTCCAACCCCTCGGAATGTTTCATTAGTGCCGCGACGAGCTGTTTGGCCGGATGCCTGCCTCAAAGCCGCCCGGGGGTTTGTTGCGAGTGAGCGACAGGACACTCGGAGGCTGCCGCTACCACTTGCGCTGCCGACGCGTCTGCGTGTGTCTGTCTGTGCATGTGTCCGTCTGTGCCTGTGTCTGTCTGTGCGTGTGTGCGTGTTGCGGTGAGTGCTCGTGTAGCGGTTAGCACGCCACTTTACGAACCCGGCAGAGGCCCGAGTTCGATTCTTGCTCACGCACGGCCAACACCAGTGACGATGATCTGAACCGGTCCTGGGCCTCCCCTAGGTCGACTCGGCCTCAAAAGAGTACCTGGTGCAGTGTGTAAACATTGCCACTGGGCGACAAAGGTGGCCGGGCGTGGTGCTGGCCACCCACCCCCTCGTGTACCGTGCCGGCCTTTATCGGTGCTCGCTTTCAGCACTTTTGTGTGTTTGCCCGCGCTTGACTTTGTACCCGGGTCGGACCGGAGTAGCGGCGGTTTATCGCGCTGCGCTGAAGTTTCAGGACCACAGGTTTGATTCCCAGTCGTGGCGTGCGTCGAGATTGAAATCTGACCCTGACACTCAAAGCATGTGCACACACGCGTACGCACGCACGCGCACAGACGCACGCACGCACACACGCGCATGCGTACTTGCGTGCACACGCAGAAGATGGGAAGCGAAATCGCAGGTTGTTTGCACACGCCGCTGCAATCCCAAAAAACGTGGGGTTCAGTTGACGACCACGCACAACGTAGTGGCTGGTGATATCCGAAGCTTGTTTGGACCTCGTTTAGATCAACCTTAGATCAACCTTGAGTGAGCCACTGGTGCCGAGTGTGAACATCAGCACTGGGCAGACAAAGAGACACGAGGCATCAATGCCTACCTCGAACTGCCGTGCCAAGCCGGCATTCATCGCAGTAGACAAAGGTCCCCTGTATAGCATTAACAGACTGTTGGGGCAAGTGCTGTTTGCACCTATGAAGGCAGGCATGGCACACGAGGAGGTGGGTGACCAGCACCACGCCCGACCACTTTTGTCTCCTCAGTGACATTGTTTACACATCACACCATTTGAGGCAGAGTCGACCTAGGGGAGGCCCAAGACTGGTTCAGATAATTGTCACTGGTGTTTGGTGGCCGTGAGCTGGTATCGAACTCGAGTCGCCGGATTCGTAGGGCAGTGAGCTAACCGCTGCCCCACCGCTCCCCACAGCAGGTGCTGCCTATAACAACATGCGGTGTGCAGGTTCATTGGGTTTCCAGGTTTCACTGCACGTGCAGGAGACCGCAAGGGTATGTGCCTGTCAATGTGTGTGTGCATCTGTCAATGCAATGTTTGTGCAGATGCGTATGGAAGCGCGTGTGTGTGTGCGCATACGCACGTAGCGGTTAGCGTGTGTGTGCCCGACAGAGACCTGAGTTCGATTCCCGCTCATGACCAACACCGTGACGATTATGTGAACCGGTCCTGGACCTCCCCTAAATTGACTCAGCCTCAAATGAGTACCTGGTGCGGTGTGTAAACATCAGCAATGGGGAGACGAAGGCGGCCGGGCGTGGTGCTGGCCACCCACCCCCCTCGTGTGTCGTTCCGGCCTTCATAGGTGCTACTCGCTAACAGCACTTCCCTGAACAGTGATGTAAGGCTACACGGGGGATCTTTGTCTTCGTCTTGTCTGCACGCGTGTGCTTGGGGAGCAGAAGTGTCGCGGTTAGCGCACTGCGCTACGAACCTGGTCACCCGAGTTTGATTCCCGCTCACGGCCAACACTGGTGACGAATATCTGAACCGGTCCTGGGCCTCCCCCAGGTCGACTCAGCCTCAAATGAGTTCCTGGTGTGGTGTGGACACATCATCACTGGGAAGAAAAAGGCCGGCCGGGCGTGGTGTTAGTCACCCACCCTCTCGTGTAATATGCCAGCCTTCATAGGTGCTACTCGCTAACAGCACTTGCCCCAACAGTCTGTTCAGGCTACACTGAGGATCTTTGTCTTTGACGCACTGCGGAGAGACCAGTGGGTGGGGGTGAGTGACAGTTTGCGCCCAGGCACCGCAGGCAGTCGTCACTCTTCCCGCTGTTTAAGCTCTGACCAGGCGGGCAAGGTGGGTGGGGGGGTTGGTGTCCGTGCCTCTCGCAGTGGGGTTCTTGATGGCCATGCCGGAGACACTGAACCAGTGCCGGATTAAGCTAGTTCGGGGCCTGTAGCATGTGTTGTTATAAAGGAGCCCTAAATAAATAAATACACATAAATATTAACACACGTACATTTTTTACTTGCATAGTAAAGTCATTGTATTTTTTTTATTTGCTATACATCCAGATAATACGACACATCGCCAACCTTAAACACCCAGTCGTTGATAAAAGTGGAAGGCAGTATAGTACTATAGTGATAGAGAAAGTGCAGAATCACTGAACCAGGATTGATAGCTTGAAAGCATTTAGCTGCGGGGCCCTTGAAAGTGCGGGGCCCTGTAGCATTATGTAGCTACTTTTGCTACGAGGATAATCCCGCACTGCACTGAACCACAGCGCCTGCACTGACTTTCCGCCAGCGCACAATGTCTACATCTCTCTTCCCCATTCCACTTATTTTCCCCCCTCCGTTGAGAGTTGCGGGATGATGTCATCAAAGGACGAAGCATCCAGCAGGGAAGGCATTTGGGACCAACGGAGCATTTGGGTGGCGCGTGGCGGGGTGGCGGTGGGACATTCAAACGGCGACATTTCACGTGCGTTGTTTTCTGTCGTAAACGAGTGTGCGCGTCTGTCTGTCGTTTCTCTGTCTCCTCCTTCGCAGTGACATCTTCGACGCGATGTTCCCTGTGACCCACATCGCCGGCGAGACGGTCATACGGCAAGGTAACGACCGCACACGCGTGTTTTTCACTTCCCCCCTTTCTTTTCCTTCTCCGTCTTTCCCTTCCTCTCTCCACCACGGCTGCATCCTTGATCCCCGTGCTGCTCTCTGTTTCTCGCGTTGACAATGGAGACGACGGACAAACCCAAAACTTTCGATTTAAAGCTTTCGTGACTGCAGGGATTCATATTGTTGGTTCTTTCGGTAAAGTCACGTAGAAGGGAAATAATAAAATAATACACATATAAAACAATAAAAATTCTCACGACGTTTTGACTGCAACACAAGCAATCATCATCAGGTGTGAAATCCACAGCAAGAAAATTAGAAAAAGTGGCGGTTTTTCCGCCACTTTTTTCAAATTTGTGGTGGTTTTTCCGCCACTTTTTTCAAATATTCTTGCTGTGGATATCACACCTGATGATGATTGTGTTGCAGTCGAAACGTCGTGAAATTTTTTATTGTTTTATATTTATATTATTTTATTATTTCCCTTCTACGTGACTTTACTGAAAAACCAAGAATATAAACCCAAAACTCTGATGTGGCGGTTCTCACGGTTCGACGGGACGAGAGATGCTCTTGATAAGCTCCTTCCTTGGGGACGGCCGCGGCGATGTTGTGAAGGAGAGAGGAGGAGCGCTCGCTACGTCTCGTCATGGAGCGTAAACCGTTGTCACGTGAACTCTGGTCACCCTCGCAGCGGTGGCTTTTAGCTAACCACCGAAGAAAAGCGGTCACCACATTGCACGCATGCAGATGCGCTTCTCTCTCCATCCCTCCTCCTGGTGCCCAATCTCGTTTTCGGTTCTTCTCTCTCCTCGCACCCCTCCACTGGAATCAACTTCCCTTGTACATTGAGCAGCACTGCCCATAGACTCAACACTGCCCATTCACTCAGCACTGTCCATAGACTCAGCACTGCCCATAGACTCAGCACTGCCCATAGACTCAACACTGCCCATTGACTCAACACTGCCCATAGACTCAACACTGCCCATTAACTCAGCACTGCCCATAGACTCAACACTGCCCATAGACTCAACACTGCCCATAGACTCAACACTGCCCATAGACTCAACACTGCCCATTGATTCAGCACTGCCCATAGACTCAGCACTGCCCATAGACTCAACACTGCCCATTGAGTCAGCACTGCCCATAGACTCAGCACTGCCCATAGACTCAGCACTGCCCATAGACTCAACACTGCCCATTGACTTAGCACTGCCCATAGACTCAGCACTGTCCATAGACTCAACACTGCCCATATACTCAGCACTGTCCATAGACTCAGCACTGCCCATAGACTCAGCACTGTCCATAGACTCAACACTGCCCATAGACTCAGCATTGTCCATAGACTCAGCAATGCCCATAGACTCCACACTGCACCATAGACTCACCACTCCCCATAGACTCCACACTGCACCATGAGACTCAACACTGCCTCTGTACATGGAGCAGTCCCCCTCCTTACCCTTCCGGTCCTCTATTAAAGCCTCGCCTCTTCTCCATCGCCCATTCTCTTCCTCTTCCCTCCCCTCGCCCCTCCACTCCCCCCCCCCTTTCCGTGATCCCCAAGTACCCCTCTATCTCTGTCGCCGATTCTTCAATCCTTGTTGCACGCCCCTGGCATCCACACAATTCCATACTGTCTCACCGTTTTGTAAGCTCCATCATAGAGCGCCGTGAGTGACGGCGCTCTATGTAAGTTATATAAATGTCATTTATATCAATTAAAATGAAGGGGCCACCGTCTTAGTTTTGGCGCGGTAGCCGCGTAGACCCCGAGTAGACCCCGAGTAGCCGTCCCCGTGCCAGGGAAGTACTCGGCAAGAAGCCAAACAAATCGTGCCCCCTCCCCCCCCCCATTCAACCCACACTGACCGGTGTGGTACAGAATCAGAATATTTATTCAGACTGGAAGAATCCGATGAGCTATGAAGCTCTTTTTCACAGATGTCCAGTATGCAGTGCTGTGGTCAAACAACTGTCCCCACCCCGCCCCCCCCCACTCCCCCACTCCCTCGCCGCCCCCCTTCATGAACACACATGCCGTGAGAAATGGCGATGGGGGCTTGAGGAGGCCTTCATCCAGCAGTGGATCGATGATGGTGATTCAAAAATAAAATGTGTCATTAAGTTTCTCCAGCAGGCGACTGGCACCAGCCAAGTACTGCCATTGGATGATTTTGCTCGCTATCCAGGTCAGGTCGTGGCCTCAAAAAAAAAAAGTAGAATTTTTTAAATGGAAATTTTGTTGGTTACCGAATTTTGGTTGTTGATGAATTGCTCGTGCTTGTGCTAAGTTCTGATCGCAGTCACAAACATCTATCCAGAAACGAGCCAACGAAACGAGCGCGCTCTGGGCACCGTTGCATGCGGACACAGGAACCGCCGCCGCACGCGCCGTGGGAGCGCGAGAGAAAATAGAATTTGACCGACGAATCGCTGCACCGCTACAAACCGATTTAATGCCAAACTAATAATTATTACCTAATTCACACCCATGTACTCATCGTCACGCACTGGCCAAGCAGCTGCTGGATCTGGCAGAGGGTAGAAAGCCTGACAGGTCAAGGTGTGTCATGGCATCAACAGCCACGTGGCCATGATGACGTCTCGATCTTGACCTGAATCAACACGAAGAGAAGGAGGCGATGGCGGCATCATCGGATTTGGCCGCTGAAAACAGCTTGACTCGAGCCGCTCACGGCAAAAAAAAAGCTACAAAACGGCTGGGTCTTGGCACCGCGGATGCAAAACTGCAGCTCGGAACGGCAGCGACACTCCGCCGGCGCGCAGCAGGAACGCAGCAGGAACGCAGCAGGAACGCAGCAGGAACACGTGCTTCCGGACGCAAGGGGCAGCCCAGTTGTTGGGAGGGGCCTGGAGTGCTGTGCAGAGGCTCAGGAGCTGCGTTCTTAATTCTGCTGTCTCCGAGGGGGGCCACAGATGCAAACAGAGGCAGTGTCTCACTCATCGCCCATTCGCCTGCCCGCCCGCCCGCTGGGCATTCAGCGCAAATTGAAAGGGAATTTAAGGAAAGTAAACACTGCTCCCAAACGAGACGCTTAGGACGAGGACATCGGTTGGATCCCTGCCGCGGTCGCGTGGCCGAATTGAATCCCTCAGCTTGGCATCCTCATTGCTCAAAGACGAAGTCTGCAGTGCCCCTCTGCACGGCTCGTCTCAGTTGGCAGTCCCAGGCTAATGATGGAAATTACACATTTCTTAGGCGCGGTGATAGGCTGCCTATAGGATTACCACTGGTGACCCTTTCATACAAAAATTACATCCATTTGCAAATCTACTGCTGGATGATGGCCTCCTCTATATGTAATGTTAGTTCAAGGGGATTGTTTGACCACACTTCACCATGTTGGTCAATATGGTTTGATGAAAGTGGGGGGGGGGGGGGGGGGGGGGGGCGGGGGGGAGGGGTTAAGATATCACTTGCCACTGATGTTAACCGTGAATATATAAATACAAAGATCCCCCATATAGCCTTAGACTGTAGGGGCAAGTGCTGTTAGCGAGCACCTATGAAGGCCGGAACGGTACACGAGGGGGTGGGTGGCCAGCACCACGCTTGACCGCCTTTGTCTCCCCAGTGGCGATGTTTACACACCGCACCAGGTACTCATTTCAGGCTGAGTCGACCTAGGGGAGGCCCAGGACCGGTTCAAATATTCGTCACTGGTGTTGGCCGTTAGCGGGAATCGAACCCGGGTCGCCAGGTTCATAGCGCAGCGCGCTAACCGCTACACTACCGCTCCCCACATTGTTTGACCATACTTTTTCTACGTATAATACACACACACACACTCACACATACTTGCTGCCTCTCAGTCTGACCCCGGCTGGGAGATCTCTCTTAGCCGCGTGCGGGTTACCCACGCGGGACCTGCGCGACTCCCAACACGGCCGCTAAAAGCCCCGCTAAGAGTGGCGCTGGATCGACGCGCATGGGGGTGAGGGTCGGGGTTAGCGCCGGGGCCGGGGGTTGGGAGGCGAGGGCGGGCGGAGGGGGGGTCGTGGGGGGGGGGTAACGAGCGATTGAGAGCGCACGCCCGGCGGCTGTTGTTTTGAGAGCCCCCCTGGGTGGACTGAATTTGAGATGTAAATGACCCGGGCCCTTGGTGGTGGTGCCGTGCGGAGGCAGTTGTCGTTGTGGTTTGGGTGGGGTGGAGTGGGAGGGGGGGCAGTTGGGGGGCAGTTGTGGTGTGGTTTGGGTGGGGTGGGAGGGGGGGCAGTTGGGGGGCTGTTGGGGGGCAGTTTGGGGGCAGTTTGGGGGCAGTTGTGGTTGTGGTGTGGTTTGGGTGGGGTGGGAGGGGGGGCAGTCTGGGGGCAGTTGGGGAGCAGTTGTGGTTGTGGTGTGGTTTGGGTGGGGTGGGAGGGGGGGGCAGTTGGGGGGCAGTTGTGGTGTGTTTGGGTGGGGTGGGGTGGGAGGGGGGGCAGTTGGGGGGAAGTTGTGTGCTTTAGGGGGGCAGTTGGAAGGCATTTGTGGTTAGGTGGTGGAGGCAGTTGGGGCCAGTTGTGTCAGGAGGGTGAGCAGGCCGAAGGAACAAATCAAGATGCATTCATACAGATATCATCGTGAGTCACGATATATCCACTGCTGGATGAACACCTCCCGAACCCATCGTCATGGTTCGTGGACCTGCACACGATCCATCCGGCGGCCCGCTCGCACGAGCCCATTCTGTTGCTCCATCTCCACAGTGGAGCGTCCTTTTCGAGTGCCTTTCCCTCCTTCGGCTGCCACTCTGCGGTCAGTCTCGACCGCCGGGCCAGCGTCCTGCCCCAAGCCCCACTTGCGTCCTCAGTCTCACGTTGCCACGATAAATCTCCACCGAGAAGTTTTGACAGTGAGCGGCGCACCACCCCGCCCGTGTCAGGTGTCAGAGAATATCCCCCGTGGACATTTGAAATCAATTCGATAGCCTCTCATTAAACGCTGGGGTTGGGGGGGGGGTTATACCTTTTGCGTCATCCACAGAGTCACTTGTCAATCAAACGTGTTGCCAGTGCAGGAATTTAACCAAACAGGTCGCGCGTTCAAATCCTGGCTAGGGATTGACTCGGCCCATTATCCCTCTGGGGTCGGTAAAACGAGTACCGCTTTGCGGTGAAGTCAACAACGGTTCCCGACGACGGATCCGTTGTCTCACAACGCCTCGGGGAGAAGTTTTATTTCCCCAGTAAAACCCCATCGAGCTAACAAGTCAATTTCTTTGTTGTAATGGAGAAAATCATTTAACAACCAAATTTGACAAGCCAGCCAGCATTGACCAGGCTTGAGATGCAAAGATACCGATGGGAGTGAGGGGGCGGGGGGGTGGTCTGAGTGAAGGGAGGGGGGTGGGGGTTAGTGGGTGGGTGGGAGTGGAGGGGGGTGGTGTAAGAGATGCATTTTTGACCGAGTAGGGAGACTCTGTCCTTAACAATGGTGGCCTCTGTCACCCGGCACGAGGGGGGGGGAGGCGTGCCTGTGGCCATCGCACACTGGGAGGTTTCACTGCCGACTGAGCACCTGCCAAGTGGCATGGCGTGGAGGCGGAGGGGGGTGATAGCGGCGGTGGTGGTGGTGAAGTTGCTGCCTGTAGGGAAACATTTACAGGTGCTCCACAACAGAACGATGTCGGCTATACTGGTCATCTTTATTTTTGGTGGTGGCGGTGGCGTTGTTGGTAATGGTGGCCGTAGTCGTGCTTGCGGTAGATGTCCAGTCGTAGTTTTTTTGTGGCTGTGGTGGTAGCATTGGCGGTGGCGATGGTGGTGGCGATGGATTGCCATGGTAGAAGGAACCAGTGGCTGTGATGGTAACTGTGATCGAGGTGGCGCAATGACTGATGGTAACAATGGTGGTGGTGCCAGTGGTGGTGGTTGCGGTCGTGTTGCCAGCGGTTGTGGTGCCGGTAGTGGCGGTAGGGGAGCGGTAGTGTAGTGGTTAGCGCGTTGTGCTACGAACACGGCGACCCGAGTTCCCGCTCGCGGCCAACGCCAGTGAGGATTACCTAAACCGGTCCTGGGCATCTTATAGGTCGACTCAGCCTCAAATGAGTACCTGTTGCGATATGTACATGTCGCAACTCTTCAAGCGACTCCCGCTTAGTGCTGGCCACCAAACCCCCTCGTGTGTCGTGCCGGCCTTCACAGGTGCTGCTCGCGAACAGCACTTGCCCCAACAGTCTGTTAAGGCTATACGGGGGACATTTGTCTTTTGGGGGTGGTAGGGAGTGGCGCTGGTGGTGGGGGGGGGGGGCTGGTGGGTGTAATGATGGAGATGTTTGAGCTGGGGGGGAGCGGGGGTGGGTGGGAGAGGGGGGGGCTGGGATGTTCGATGGCCCCTTTGTGCGCTCCCCGCCGCCAACACAACGATATCTTTGTGCAATGTTTATGGGGCAGTGGTGCGTTCCGCCGTTTGTCCGGCTTTACGTTCCGGCGCGTGTGACCGTGCGCGAGTCGGCTCATTCAACCCCCCCCCACCGCTACCCGCTGTCTACTGCCCCCCCCCCCCCGACCTCTCCCTACCAACAGCCCCCACCCTCCCCCAAGTCCTCCTCCTTAGCCCCAACCCCCGGCTGCGATCGCGGCAGCCATCCCTTGATTAATTTTTTCGTCCCTTGTCTTTTTCTTTCTTCCGCAGACGACGAAGGGGACAACTTTTACGTCATCGATCACGGCGAGGTTGACGTGAGTCCACTCGGGGGGGGGGCGGGTCGCGCCGGGGTCGACTATCCCCCCAACCCCTGACCTCTGACCCCTGACCCCTGACCCGAACTATCGTCCCAACTCTAACCCTAACCTCAACCCTAAACCTAACCCTAGCCCCTGACCCTGATCGTAATCCTAAATCTAACCCTCACCTCAGCGATAACCCTAATTACATTCCTAATTATGTAACTCTAACCAGAACCCTCACTCTAACCCTGACCCTAATCTCAACCCGAACCCTAAACATTCATTCGACTCGGCGTAACCCGATCGCTAACTCTGACCTTAATCAGTATCGTCGTCGTCAGCAGCAGCAGCAGCAGCAGCCAAGGCCTATCCACTGCTGGATAACGGCCTCCGCACGTTGTCGCTATCCCACACGGCCCTGCAATGCCACAATCCATCTCGCTGCCACGCGTGAGCCGAGCTCGTCGCTCCATCCCTCGGTGACCGTCTCCTGGCGTGCGCACCTCCCTGCTTTGACCGCCATTCCGTCACTGGTCTCGTCCGTCCATGAACGAGATGGACACAGCGTCTCTGTTGTAAGCAAAAAAAAATTAAAACGAAGACTCTATCTCACACTAGCTCCTAGCGTAAATCCTCGGGTTCTTATCGCGAGGGTTTGTGTTGGAGAGAGAATTAATGTTCAGGGTCTTGAGGGAGGTTTGGGGTTGGTGTTCGCGTAAACAGGCTGCAGTTGGGTTTGAGAGCAGTCACAAAGTAATTGGAGGTTAGAGTTGGGTTTATTGAGCGTGTCGGAGCTGATGATTGTGAATTGAGGGTCGGGTCGGGTTTGTGCTGGAATTCAAGTCCACGATTGCATTGGGGTTAGAGTCGGATTCATGTTTAGGGTTACAGTCAGGGGTGAGGCTTTCATTGTGTTCGTATGAAGCTGACGATCGCGCTTCGAGTTTCGGGTTGGCTTCGTCCTAGAATTGAAGTCGTGGCCTAGCCCAGGTGTCGGCAACCAAACCACCACCACCATCAACAGCAAGAAGAGCCATTTTTTTCCCGAAACACACCCTCAACATTTGAAGAGCTGCAACGCAACGTGGTGAATACGACACGGTGGGTCCTCAATAAATAACGGTGACGAAGCGGGAGTCGCTTGAAGAGCCGCACGCGGCTCCGGAGCCGCAGGTTGCCGGACTGTGACGGACTTGCGATTAGAGTGCGTCTGCTGTGGCAGAACGAAGCGAGTCATTGCGATGTGAGCTAACGGGGTACCCAGTCGTGCCAAGAAATCTCCAGGACGGGGGCGGGAGATAGGATTGAATCGAACGCGGCGGAGTGAGTGTGAGAGACGCAGAGAGAGTGAGAGCGAGTGAGACCCGACCTTGGCCAAGGCGGTGGGTGGAAGGTGATGGGGGGGAGAGGCGGAGGGGGGCGAGAGAAATGAGGAGGAGGTGTGGGTTGGGGGGGCATTGGAATGGAGGAGGAGTTTGAGACGCGAGATCCAAGCTGCTGCCCGCGATACGGACGCCGTTATCGGAATTCAGGCCTGGGAGTCTGGGATCGCATCACGTGTCCCACACTGTACCTGGCCTGCCAGTCCGGGGCCTAGGCGGATAGACCCTCTGCTATTGGAAGGCCCGTTTGTTTTACGTCAATTTACTAGCGGTGTGAACTCGGAGGGAGAGAGATATATTCACCACTGCTAGCTTTCCATTGCGCGCACTTGCACGCACGCGCATGCACGCATCCACTAATGCCAAGAAGACAAAGGCCCCCCACCCCCCAACACTGTATAGCCTTAACAGACTGTTGGGGAAAGTGCTGTTAGTGAGTCGAACCTGTGAATGCCGGCACGGCACCAGGCCCCCATTGTCTCCCCAGTGGAAATATTAACACGCAGCGGCAAATATTCGATTTGGGCCGAGTCGACGATTCAGATATTCATCGGTGCTGGTACTGAGCGGTACCAACAGCGGCGCGCTAACCACCGTGCCACCGCTCCCATCAACCTGTTGCGCTTGGTGGTCGCCCATCCAAGGGCTATCCACTCTCTGATTAGCTTTGGAGATCTGACAAGGTCCTGGATGATTTGCTCATAATGATGACAATTGGGATGAGTTAACCCTGGCTGGGATTCAAACTCATGACCTCACGATTGGAATGTGCTGCTTCTCTCTGTATAATTTTTGAAAGTGCAATAATTTTAAACTAATTACCTCTTCACTACGCTCATAACAGTCCACCAGGTGTCCCGTGAAGATGCATTAATGCAGGGTAGCAGCAGAACACATAGCCTGCTGCGACGGACCGAGCGAGTGAGCGAGAGGGTGAGGGGGTGAATGAGCAAGCGAGTCAGTCGGTGAATGAGTGGCCGAGCGAGCGAATGAACGAGTGAGCGAGCGAACCTTTGAACAAGTGTGTGAGTGAGATGGTGAGTGAGCGAGCGAACAAACGAATGAACAAGCGAGTCTTAGAACGAGTAAGTGAGTGAGCAAACGAGTGGGTGAGTGAGTGCGTGAGTGAGTGGGTGGGTGAGTGAATGAGTAAATGAGCTAACGAGTAGGTGGGTGAGTGAATGAGTGAATGAGCGAACGAGTGAGTGAACGAGTGGGCGAGTGAGCGAGCTAATGAGCTAACGAGTGAGTGAACGAGTGAGTGAGCGAGCTAATGAGCTAACGAGTGGATGAGCGAGTGAGTGAGTGGGTGGGTGAGTGAATGAGTGAATGAGCTAACTGAGTGGAGTCGCAGCTCTGGCAGCCGAAATCCGAATGCCTTTTTTTTTATATCCACCAAAGTTTTCCCACCACTTCCACTCTGAGCAGCACGGCAGGGCATAGCAACTCATACCGCATCCCATCATCACTGCGTCACATCGTCACCGCGTCCCATCATCACGTTCCATAATCGCCGCGTCCCACCACCACATCTCATCATCGCGAATAGACTCACAACAACGTGGGCCACACCTCAGCGAGAGGGCCACGGTGGCCAGGTTTTCATTACTTCGCCGGGTATACAGGAGGTCGTGGGTTTGATCCCGACGATGACGTCTGCTGTGTATTTGGAGTTTGTACGTTCTCTCTCCCCGTGGTCGCTTGGATTTTTCTCCAGGTCCTCCGGTTTTTTTCCCCTCCCACGTTTAGAATCAACATCACGCATTTAGAGTATTTGGCTACTGCTATACATTTGCACGTGATGATCGGCCACTTGGTTGCGCTCTCATTCGTGGCCGGGTTGGTTGTCAAAGAAAAGAGCTACATAGCCTGGTAAAATAAAATATAGTTTTACTTTTGCTTTTCTCTGTTGGCCAGCACTGCAAATTCCTCGTTCCTATGACGTAGGTGGGGCGAGGGTTAGCCGTGGTATTAGACCGGGGGTGGAGGGGGGGAGGAGGTGGTAGTCTCTCCGTAGTACATCCACTGGGCACAGTTGCACCTCCCGACCGATGTCACCCGCATCAGGGACGGGCCGACAACAACGTCGACGACGGCGGCGGCGGTGGTGGTGGGCCGGCCGCGGTCAGCGTGCCCGGCGGCGCAAACAAAACAGAAAGCCCCGAGAACGGAACGGTGTCATCACAAAAGGGGTGAACGACGCAAATAAGGTGGGGGCAGGCGGTGAGTGGGGAGGGGTAAGAATAGGAAGACATTTAGCTAATTACAGATTTATGAGCTGATGAGATTATGCAAGAGGTGGCAGGGTGACTGATGGGGTGCTCATGCTAATGCCCATCGGTCGGAGCCAGCGAGCCACCACCGCTTGCTGGGATCGGGGCTCGGGCCCTGGGGACAGAGCGTCTCCCTCCCTCTCCCTCCTCTCTCTCGTCTCTCTCTCTCCTCTCTCTCTCTTTCCTCTCTCTCGTCTCTCAACCTCAGGGGGCTCGTAATGGCTGTGTTATGGCGCCGAGCCAGCGCCTCTGATATCCCGACTTCAAATCCCAGACTTCCTCCGTCACACTAAGACAAAGATCCCTCGTATCGCCTTCAACAGATTGTAGGGGCAAGTGCTGTTAGCGAGCACCAATGAAGGCTGGCACGGCACACGAGGGGGTTGGTGGCCTTACACCACTCCCGGCTGCCTTTGTCTCTTCAGTGGCAATGTTTACACATTGTACCAGGTACTCATTTGAGGCTGAGTCGACCTAGGGGAGGCCCATGACCGGTTCGGATAATCATCACCGGTGTTGGCCGTGAACGGGAATCGAACTCGGATCACCGAGCCCCCTGGATGAGGGCCTCACCCTGCACCCCCCCCCCTCGCTGTGACGGTTGCGAAGAGTTTATTTGACCATACTTCACCATGCTGGTCAGTGCGGGTTGGTGGAGGTGGGAAGCGTTCCACGTGAGATGAACCTGAGTGTAGCGAGTGTGGTGGTCTTGTGGCCTAGTCACCGATGAGTGTCGCTGAGAAAAAAAAAGGCATGACGCTCTTTATTTTGCAAAGAAGGGTGTCCGTGGTGATGAGATGTTAACTACCTCGCCAAGTATGGAGGAGGTGGTGAGTTCGATCCCAACCCTGATGCCTGGTTATAGCTCAGTGGGCTTTATCTGGTAAAACAACGTAACGACGTTACTGGCACGGTTGAAAGCGACGATCGGAGCGGCAGCCAAAGAGATGGATCGCGCCACGGTGGTTGGGAGATGTTAACTACCTCGCCCGGTATGCAGGAGGTCGTGGGTTCGATCCCGACCCTGACGCCTGCTGTATATTTGGAGTTCACATGTTCTCGCCGTGGTCGTGTGGATTTTTCTCCGTGTCTTCCCGGTTTTCATCTCCACATTTAAAATCGACGTGCGTTCAGAGTATTTGACTGCTGCTATAGATTTCCGCACGATAAGCCACTTCGTTGATCTATCGTATGCAGCCAGGTCGCTTCTGAAAAAGAGCTATATAGTTTAAGTGGGCCTTACCTAGCAAAATAAAAAAAAGTTGAGTTTAAGTCGGTAAGCAGGGCGGAGGGAGAGATCGAATTCTGCCAAACGCGACGTACGTCTCCTCCTCCGACGATTGTGCGCATGCACGTG